CGAGATTTTATAACGCTCAGCGGCGTAGTGTAGCGGCAATGAAAGGGGATGTAATAGATAACTACAATTAACATTTTACCAACAATAAAGTTTTCTATTTTTTTATTATTTTATTTTAAGTCTTTAATTTTGAAGTTACAAAAATAAAATATGCAAAAAATGTACAGGTTAAAAAAATAAACAAACTAATTAAAAAAAAAAACTAAATTTAAGTAAAAAAAAACAAAGCTGTGCACGTACATATATGTTAGATAAAATAGTAGACAACGCTAACAAAAAATTATTGTATATTGAGTGCCTTACAACTACATTAACCAGTGAACAACGGCCCAGCTACGTCGAAACACCGGTTCCCGTTGGAACACTGAAGTTAAGCGACGTAAGGCGATACTAGTGGATGGACGGGTGACCGGTTCGAAACTCTGTATCGTGCTGTTGTCCAATAAAGGCAAAAGTGTAAAATCTATTGACACACACTGCTCATTCACGCCGGTTCGAGGCCGAATGCCGATGAGATTGGATATCTCGTGAGTAAGAGTCGATTTAGACACTTGCCAAGTCGGTAGGCCATTGACCATGATATGGCCGAGGACCGCGGTTCGGATTCCGCGTAAACAAAATAGATTAGAAAGTTAGTTATTAATTAGAATTATTAATTAGACTATTAGAAATAGTCTAGATTAGCCCTGGCAGCAAAAACGCGACGTTAACATCAAATCTTTCCTTTACTTTTTATTAACCAGTGTTCACTTTTATAAACATTTTCACTAAAATGACGAATACACGATTTCAATTTAGTTATTAATATTCAAAATATGCTTTGGAGGTCCTTCTTCAATAGTTTTTAATTTTTCTGAATACATACATCATAGAACTGAAGGATGATTGCAAGATTATATCTATTTTACTATGTATTTTTGTCTATTTTAAATTTTAAACACCCTGTCTATACAGAGCGAATCATAAATAAGTGCAAATATTTTAAGTGTAGTATATTTCGACCCAAGGAACACGATTTGGTTTCTTTTCGCGAAAAAAAAATAGAAAATTTCGAATTTTTTCATAAAAGTTTTGGAAATATTTTTAGTTAAAAAACATAATTTCTACGTAGGTAGTAGGTGGTTAAAAAAAAACAGAAAAGATCCAGTGATTCTCAAAATTTGAGCAAAAAAAATATTTTTTTGGAGATTTTCAAAGTAAAATAACTCGGGTTATTTTGGACATATTTGAAAAACGGTAAAGAGAAAATATGTTTCTTTTATCGAGATCTAGCAACCCTAAAAATATTTGCACATATTTAAGACACACACTGTACAAAATGACGAAACTAGGGTTTCAAATATCAAACACAATGGCATCATAATACTTATCTTTAAGATAAAACATTGAGATCATCTCGAAAAAGGAAAGGCATTGTAAAATGAAGAAGATGAGAGGATCTATAAAAGAGTTTCATAAAATTTAGAGGACGCTTTTGAGTAACCAGGTAATTTAGATGCATGTTTCAGCGAATATTCTAGGAAACAATGTAGACATTTGTGATGTTCTGAACTTTTACCTAGATAGATAAGATTTAACAAGCGTGCAACTAAGTTACTTATTAGATGTTATTATAATTTATCTTTTGAAAGTTGCATACTGGTCTGAAAGTTTCATGAATTCGCTTTAGTTTAATGTAGGAACTAAATGTGTAGAGAATCCTACAACGTAATTTTAGAATGTATATATTTTACAACTAAAATGGATACTTAGTTTTAAAAATAACCAGCTATTAACAAAAATAATATTTTCGGACAATAATTCACTAAACAAAGATATAAACCACATCAAAAGTATATTAATAAAAAACGATTATCCACCATCTTTTACTGATAAAACATTAAACGAAATACACAATATAATATAGTAATCGCAAAACAATTTCCGATGCACATGATCAACTTTGAGTGACAACCGATGGCGACAGCGCTGCCAGATTGTGATGGATTTTTGAGGTGAATCTTAATTTAAAAGTGACAAACAATATATTTATTATATAATTTTTTAAAGATTTTTATGTTTTATTTTTAATTTATTAACTAGTATTTTAGTAATTAACTGATTTTTTGTTTTATCGCTTATTTAACTTATTACATATAGGCAAAAACTAGTCCATTATGAAGATTATTCTAAGCGTTATTATGGGTTATTTATTTATTTATTGATGTACATCTTCCAACGCCATAAGTGGTAATAACAAGTCAGAGGGTGCTATTAATGCACAAACTAATAATCACAGAATTTAATATAAACTAACGTACAAATAATTTTGAAAGTGGTGTAATGTGCTTATCAAGGACCTTTATTGTCACGTTCTCGTTCAAAATAGTGTTGCGGACCGGTGTGGACTCGACCTAACCTGCCTACTCGACCTAATATGGCCCGCCCTCGGATGACCTTAACATCGCATTAAAGAACAGACACCGTAATGATTCATTCGAAGATTCGAGAAGCATCGAGTTCTACTGGAATGGAGTAGTACATACGAGAACAATCGAAATCTTCTCTATGCACCTAACGATCTATGGACTATTCTAGAGACCTTTAGCTGTAGGTATAAAAGCCGGCGGCTGTGGCCTACAGAGGGCAGTTATAAATAGACGAGTGCAGTTGACGCGCTAAAATTCAAAATAAATTCTTAGTTATAAATCGTTTGTAAATAGTTCTATAAGTTTTTTATCGTTATTGTTTTTGTTAATTAGTGTTAAATAAATAGTGTTTAAATAAATTGTGACTTTCTATCCACACGGAACCGACGAAAAACGTAATAATAGTTTATCAGGGTTTAAATGCTTCGGTATATTTTCAACACACAATTTCAAGAAATGAAATACAAAAACTCGAAAATTTAGTTGGTTAGGTTAGGTTAGTTAAAATAGACAAAAAACGAGAATTACCCACAAATATTCAAAAACAACACGATATCATACAAAATAATGACTGACCTTAGGATAATTGTCAAATAATAAACGACAACCTTGCTGAAAACGAAGCAATGTGACCAACATAAGCGATAATAAAATTCGGTTTAAACTAATTATTGCAGCTTTAATCTAAATAAAATATCTGTTACAATCATTTGCTCTATAATACTGGTTTAGTGTGGTTAAAACATTGGACAAAAAACAAAAAATGTAATATACAAAATACCATGTGAATGTGATAAATTTTATATTGGTGAAACATCTAGACCATTAAATGTTCGAATAAAAGAACATAAAGATTATTTAAGAAAGGGCGGTTTTCACAAATCTAAGCGTACAAACATAGTGGGGCATCTCGATGCGATGCTGGCCGTGATGCATCCTACGCGCACATTTTAAGCACTGCTTTAAAACGGTGAGTAAGTGCGCGTAGGATGCATCGCGACGAGCATCGCATCGAGATGCCTCATTATGTTTGTACCCTTGATTTGTAAGCATCATGGGACATAGGGCATAGAGTAGATTTTATAGAAAGAAGCGACAGTCTCTAAACGAAAAAGAAAAGAGTTTTTTTTAATACAGTCTAATAAAAATAAATGTATTGCTCAGGGACCAGTAAAGGTTAGTAATGTATGTCAATCGCTTTTTTGATGTTAATAAACATAACATAAATAAACAAAAGTAAAAATTAAAAATAATTACATAGAAAGTTTGAGGCTTTTTGGTTTTACCTCATTAAGTAATTGTTATCAGGAAGTAATTGTTAATTTTGAAGTTTAACTTGATATAATGTCATTTTAACATAACTTCAACGGTTTTTATAGACGTGCCCGTTGAAAAAAAACTGAGGTGTTTTTGAATAGTTGTATTTAGATATTTTAAATAGTTTTTTTCTTTGGTCTTTGTGATTTTCTGCTTCCGACGACGAGAAGAGATATACTTGTAAGAAAAAACCTTGCGTAACCTTCTGAGACGTGTCAAATCCGCGTCAGCGAGTGATGGCAATAGTAGTATTAGTAGTTGTGCTCCCATTAAGCTCCCATCCTATCAAGGACCTGCATAAGCTAGTGCAGGGCACAGGGATAGGAGAATGGGTGCAGATATAAAAGGGGAACAAACACAATTGGCCTCACAGGACGGCCCCATGGTATAAAGAATACAAGGTATGATCGATAGCGGCTCCAATTTCGTTCATTTCGCGCATACCACCTGTGACGTCACTAGGAAAATAACGAATAAAAAAAATAGTAGTAGTTCTCCATCTCCGATATCAGTCGTACCAAAGTTTATGGCACGAATGGTTGTCATCTCAGCGCACTCAGTGACAAGGTGTCTGGTATTTCCCAATTTTCCCCACAGAATGAGCATTCGTCGTTGTTTCTTAGCTTCAATATAATGAAGTGTTCATTGAGGAGACAGTGTCCTGTTAAAAACCCCGTATCAATCCGAAGATTTTTCTTACTTATCAAGGAAAATCTTTGACTATTCTCAGTCGTAATTCCTGGTCGTAAGTTGATTCGAGTGTCTTAGACCATTGGAGTATTCCCATTCTAGGTTTTTCTTATGACGATAATATTTGTAAGGCTAATAGCGTTTTGACAAGTTTATCTGCCGGTATTTCATATAAGAAAAGAAAATTTAGAAAATTAAATTTTGTACTTACAAGGCTACACTAATGTGTTGTGCTGTAAAGTAATCAGAAACAACGTATATGACACAAAGTATTAAGTTTTCCCTAAGATAGCACGGCGAAAACTTGGAGGAAAGTAATAAATTTTAGGTTCCGTTTACGCTCACCGTAAATTTGTTAACGTAATGTGAAAACTGCGTATGCTACCTAAAGGATATAGGTACTTTTTTTAGTAAAATATTGTATATGATCAGTTCTAATAGCTTCTTAAAGTTTCTCTGTTATAAAGCCTGAGAAATTCTTCTTCTATTAACTAAATAAATTTACAGTGGTTATGAGTGACAAGTGATTACTTCAAAATATTGTGAAAAAACTGTATAAAACTGAAAAATTAAAACAATACCTACCTTTTTCTAGAGGCGCCCGTTTGTATTTCTCTAATCTCTTGACAGCTATCGCTTCAAGTCGTACTCTAGCAGCTGGGTACTCTTTCAGTACGTCCCACATATCCTTTTTACTTAATACGAACAAGTCGCTATAGCCTACTGACCTCACACTGGCCGTCCTCCTATTTCCTAAAGAAAGGATATTTTTAAAAAATTACATTGTTTTTGAAATTAGTACAGAAGTAGTACACAAATTATATTCACACTATCTATAAAACTAATCCATAGGTTTTATATTTATTAAAGTTTAACCCTTTGAGTAAAATGATTAGGAAAGGAATATAATGCTATCAATGTATTCATATGCATTAGGGTAATTTCAAAATAAAAAATGCGTATCATACAATACTAGGTTATGAGTTAAAAAAAAGTAGTAAACATTTTTGTCGATACTTTTTTTTGATAAAATAAAAACAAAAAGACTAATTCTGAACAAATTAAACAATGAATCATTAATACATCAAAATAAAAAATATAGATAATGTGTATATAAAATATGTACAATTTTGAAATCATGCTGTAAGGGAGATATAAAGTTAAATATCTGGGTTCAAATATATGCCTAATATTAGTTAGCACCAATAAAATTATAAAGCTGAAAATATTCACCTCTAGGAAATTATTAGGAAGATATTAAGAAAAGGGTGTTATATGTAGTGTAAAAGACATTGTATGTAGTTATTATTATTGCTTTATTTTTGCTTAATAGTTAGTTTGTTGATAAGAATTATAATAGATGTAGTTGAATTGCTATTATATGTTTTAAAATGTGCTTGTAAACATAATTTATTTTTAGTATAATTTAAAAGTTTAAAATTAAATCTAAATGCAATCATTTACTGTCTATTTATGCCAATTTTTTTGTTTATTTTGACATAGTGTGACAATGACCGCCTTAGTAACTATAATAATTTTCAACCACCCTAACTATCTTAGCAAATAATTAAACAGTATAAGCAAAGAATATTATAACTTCATTTTTAAATTTATATAATTTTTTTTATAAAAATACTAATAATTTTCAACCACCCTAACTATCTTGTAATGAAGTCCGTATATTTTTTTTATTTAACCTGTTAAATGCTAGGCGCGAACATAAATAAAACACGGCACAATAGCGCGGCGTGAAAGTACTTCACTAGTACACCGAAGGGACCGGGTTCGATCCTGCCTTGGGACCTAACTTTTTTATATTTTTTATCGTTAATATTCTCATGGTAAATGTTTAAATATTTGTTTTTTTGATCACCAGGACGGATAGCGTTTGTGGATTTATGAACCATACTGTATATAAGTCGAATTTGATATGTTCATTTGTTTTGAAGGATTATGGTAACAAATTTTTCTTAGACAAGCTTAGTATGGTTTATTTTTATTTTTAGAACTGTTATGATAGTCTAAAACTGGAAAATATTTTTAATACTAAAAATTATTTGCTGATAAAATTGTGTTAAATATTTCGTCGATTTGCATGGAGACGTTGAAGTTTTTTTTTTGGTACAAACAGCAAATGGTTTTTTGTAGGATCGACGGGTAAAAACGTTTTTTTTTACTGTAAGGAATCTTGATGGGAGGTAGGACGATGGTAACCGAACGTGGTTCGTGGTTCCCGACGGAAAAGATTATTTAAGCGACGGGAGCGCGAAAACGGGGTTCTTCCTGTTGAGACCGGTGAACTTTTCTAAGTAAACCTCGCGAGTCTGATCCGTTTTTTTTATCAGCGCTGCTGTAAAAACCGAATTCTTGAGTTTTAAAGTAAAAGTACCGTATCTCCGTTTTTGATTTTAAATAAGTATAAATCGTGGTCGCAGAGATTTGATTTAAAATAAGTCTAAACCGTATTTCTGATTTATGAGTATAGATAGTTAAAAACCGAGCATTTAAGTTTTTTATACCTGACCGTGAATAGACAACCAGACCGTTTCGTTTTGATCCGACGCCGATTTTCTTAAGTTTTTTTTTACCTGACCGTGAATAATTAGTGTGCCTGGATTCCGGGCTGCTGTAGGCGATTCAGAAAACCAGACCGTTTCGTTTGATCCTACGCCGATTTACTTCAAAAAAAAGAGAGGTAATCACATTCTTTCTTTTTTTTTGTAACCGCCAGATACCCCATCAGAGTTCTAGTAATCACAAATTTTAGTTTCAGCACAGTAGATAGAGTTTTTTTTATTTGATTTTTATGGTATAAAATTCCTTTACGGAGGAGGAGTTAATTAAGGTTCCTCTTTTATTTTACCATAATAATAATATTTCTTATATATCTGATTTATTTAAAGATGCATGTGAATACGTAGTGCTAGTATTTTTCTATTTTATTTATTTGAAGATATTGAATTTAAATAATATGAACTTAATTATGTGCTGCTGTAATTAACTGATTTAATTTCTCTGTGTTAGATTTTGCGACATTTCATGTTTTAGTATTTTCTTCATATGTTGTTTATTTGAAGATATTGGATTCATAATTAATTTAATTTATTAATTAATCACTTAATTATTTGCTATTGTAATTAACTGATTTAATTTCTCTGTTAGATTTTGCGATATTTCATGTTTTAGTATTTTCTTCATATTTTATTTATTTGAAGATATTGGATTCATAATTAATTTATTTAAATAAACCTCGTTATGGAATATATTCGACTTTAACTGGCTTTTACCCCATTTCCCTGGATTCTCCGCTGTAGAAAAGCTACCCGTATTGGCCGAGGTGGTCTCTCAAACACTTTAAACTTTGAGGGTGGCGCCCGAGAACAAAAAGACCGACTGTTAAGCGTTAGTAATAGCTCTCTAGGAAAAAAAGGCTGTTACAATCTTAGCAAATAATTAAACAGAATAAGCAAACAATATTATAACTTCATTTTTAAATTTATATAATTTTTTTTATAAAAATATTATGTGAAAGAGATATTACCCTGAAAGTGACCACAATGAGGAAGAGGTCTTTAAAATGCGGTTATTTTGTCGGATGCTGAAGATACCTTGGACGGAACACTCAAATGATTTTGTATTACATCCCATAAACCAAGAGAGAGAGAGAGAAAGAGAGAGAACTTCTAAGTATAATAATAATTATACTAAATTATTTTTATTAAGCAATGATCCAGACATTTAACAAAAGGCTATATGGAGGGTTCAGTCTCCAAGTTTCTAGACTTATAGTCACTATATTCAATTTATTTAATAAAATAGATACGGTTATTTATAAATTTAATGGTTTATTAATTGTGTATTACCATTTCCATTAGAATTTTTAATTAAATAATATTATAATAGGAAAACATAATCTAGTCACGTAAAAAAGTTACAGAAATTAGGTTAAATTATTTTGCCAGAATTTTTCTACGACTTTGGCAAGAGCTACAAAGAGGACAGTCATGTATCTATGTTTGTATGCTTGGCTCATTTCCAGTTGGCTCTTTTTTCAAGCATCGCATTTTGTAGTAAATATCTCACCCTGAAGTCTCAAAACACACTTTAAAGTTAGATTTTTGGCATAATGACAGCTACAGCAAACGATTAAAAGTCTTCTTTAAAAATAGAAACTATGCAGAGTGTTTCTAAAGCAGTCTAAAAAAATAGAGTGTAATTTAACATTTTATATGAATATTAGTAGTGGGAACTATCGAATGAATACTATCGAAACATTCGATAGTTGCAATTCATTCGAATAATTCGATAGTTAGTAAGAAAACATTCGTTGAAAACTATTCGAATAAAAATTATCGAATAGATCCGTCATCTGCCTTGAAATATTGTATTCTAGTAATTCGGCAGCAAAAACCATTCATTTATAAAATTCATTCATTTATGAAATTCATTTATTCGTCAGGATCGATTATAATAAAATATTAACTGAATTTTAGTTGTCGCCCGGCGACGTAGGTTTCTTTCCGAGAAACCCGACAGCAGTCGGTGGCAATGCTATGAAAGAAGCCGGCATCTTTGATTTTTTGCGGAGTCAGATATAGATAAGGACACATTATTTTTTTTATTGAGGTGCTAGTATTTACACAGAAAATACATTATGAAGGGCGCTGTTGCCATATTTTGGCATTAGTTGATATTAGCAAAGAATATTATTGTTTGGCTTTAGTTAGTTAGGGATAGTATGTCTATATATTCTGCATTTTTTTTTATTAATATTCTGTTGTTACACTGCAATAATACTTGTTATTTTGGATGTAAGAACATGAAAGTGATTTTTAATGTTTTTAAGCAAAGACTGGTTTAATAAATAATAATAACAGTAATAATTTGTTATACCTATTAACAACAAAATTTAAAATGATTTAATATCAATATTTTTTTAAGTAGTAGCAAAATATAAACAACAAATTAGATGTCAAAATTATTTATATTAGATCCTATTTAAAAATAATATAGTCTTTAAATTTTTTGGCAACGTTGGTTTGTTAAATAATAATAATTACAGAACTAATTTGTTATATTAACAACAAATTTTAAAATCATGAAATATAAACATTTATTAATTTTCTAAGCATGCAGTGTAATGGAACGAAAATATAAATAAAAAATTAGAAATCAAAATTATTTATATTAGGTGCTTTATATCTCTATTTAAAAATTATATTAATTAATTATATTACTTTTACTGGCATTTACTTTAAAAAATAAATGAAATATTTCTTCGCAAAAAACTACATGTAAGAGAATTAGCATAAACAAAATACAAACATCGTTAACTTTTTTTTAAAATTGGCACGTGTAAAACTTTCATTTTAATTTCTCACCCCATAGTTTGAGTTCGATAACCCCCCATTTACTTAACCACATTACTTAAATATGATTATTAAGTTCCAACTAATTCATATTATTAAAACATCTAAAATGCAAATATGTATTTTTAAAATTAATTGTAAGTTCATCTCATCCCTCTTAAAAATTGCTACTTCTCAAAATTTCCCATTAAAAAATAGACCATATACCATATAAAATTAAATAACTGAAAGATCGGACTACGGAAAACAACACAAATTTTCGGAAAAATTTTGACCACCTGCACATGCACACAATCGTCAATAAATAAAATTAAAAAATAACTACTATTTTAGTATTTTAACTATTTTAATAAATGCAAAAATAGCACAGTATTTATACGGCGA